AAATTTATAAAAACATAACTGCAATAATAATAATAATAATAATTAATAAAAATATTCATAAAACATAACTGTAATAATAATAATAATAATAATAATAATAATAATAATAATAATAATAATAATAGTTCAGGGAAATTGCATTAGTTAAAAAATACCAATTGAAGCAATATTGCTTAGAACAATGAAACATTTATTTATTTATTTATTTATTTATTTATTTATTTATTTATTATACTTTGACCCCATCTGGATTTCTCAGGATTTATATAGTTATGCATTTGTATAAAATAATTTTTTTTTAATTCTGTATATTACTGATGGCATTTATCACAGATTTAAAATTAAAAAATGTAAAAAAATAAATAAAGAAAAATAGAAAATAAAATGAAAATAAGTAACACAAAAGATACTGTTTTCAGACATTTACAATCATTTTTCAACGCAATACTAATATAATAATATTAAATATTAATATAATAATATTAAATATAATAAATAACATAAATAATAATAATAATAAAATAAAAATAAATAAACACAATTTACCTTAATTCATCATAAATCAAATAAATTCAGAGAAACTGAGAACTTTCAAGCGTTTCTTTTTTTAACCACATATAAATGTTTTAGTAACTCAATTAATCATGTGACAAGTTAGATGCAATAAAAAAGACAACAATAGCAATAACATGTTTTTCAGCAAAAAATCATCATATAAGATCGATTTCTGAAGATTATGTGAAACGAGAACTACGTTTTCTGAAAACTCAGCTTCTTGCATAACACGAATAAATTACATTTAAATATATTTAAAATTACAAATATTTAATATTTAAACTAATAACAATTATTATAATATATTTAATTATTGTTATACATTAATAATAATACATTCAGAATAGTATTGTTTTTTATTGTTTTTGATTTATTTATTAAAGGTGATCAAACAAATATGTATCTTCTTTCAAAAACATTTAAATATCATAACATAAATTAAGGATTATAAAGAAAAACATATATTAAATGTGAACGCAATAACATGAATGCAAACTTATAAACCTATAACCCTTTATCCAGCTATAAAATCCAACAGAATGAGCCACGTTTGAACCTGCCAAAAATATGTAAATCAGTGACCTCATATCAGCTGAATACTATATTAACGTTTGGCAAGAATAGACGGCCTACAGTTATAGGCTATGGCTGTAGACGGAAGAATTATTTATCAAGTTAATTATTAATAATTAATGTGATTATTTATTGAACGTCAGTTTCCGCATGCCCGTAGAGTCAGCGGATAATTACACGATAGAACAACAAGAATTATGTTTTACTCAACCAAATAACTATAAATGATAGTAAAAATAAAATCCATAGCTGCAAATTTAGGACAGCATGGTGCCTCAGTGGTTAGCGCTGTCGTCTCAGAGCAAAAAAGGTTCGAGTCCCAGCTGTGTGATCTGGTTTCCCCCACAGTCCAAAGACATGCGCTATAGGTGAATTGGGTAAACAAAATTGGCCATAGTGTGTGTGTGTGTGTGTGTGTGTGTGTGTGTTAGTGTGTGTGAATGAGTGTGTATGGGTGTTTCCCAGTATTGGGTTGTGGCTGGAAGAGCATCCACTGCGTAAAACATATGCTGAAATAGTCGGCGGTTCATTCCGCTGTGGCATCCCCTGATAAATAAAGGTCTAAGCCAAAGGAAAATTAATAAACGAATGAGCTTCAAAGTTCGCTTTCAGACCAGATTCAAATTCAACCATGATTGTTAAAGCAATTCCAGGGTTTTATTATTTACAGCCAGGCTTTGTTCCTGCTGTCCACATCTACTAGCGATGTGTCATGGGACAGAAATAGAGGAAGAGTGACAGTGTTTTCGGGAGGAGAGAAAGAGAAAGCATGCCGATCACTCATCCTCTTTTCCTCTCCCAGATCTCATGTGGGAAGCAGACATGTTCAGAGGGAATGAGGTCAGGGAGGTTTACCACTTCACGGGGGGTTGGAAACGGAAAAGCCTGTTCTGGGATCAGTCCAGGTGCTGCCCTTCTGGGGGGAGCCATAGAGCCATGTTTATGGGGAACTGATTCAGATTCAGAATCAGAATGTCTTATTGCACTTAAAACGGGGCAAAATCCCCTGCTGATGTTACACTGGCATCATTTTCTGTGCAGGGACAGGCTGGTTTATACTGGTTTGGTGCAGGTCATTATGTGCACTGCCAAAACTGTGCCAACATTTCAGTGAAGCTGATAAATTGAGTTTGTAATACTGGGTAAAATGTTAATGCTATGAAATAAAGCTAATTTAAATGAATTTATTTATTTTAATGAAGTTAGTCTGTTTTATCAACTGTCTCATGATATAAGAAAATATAATAAAATATAGTACAATATAATATAATATAATATAATATAATTAATATAATATAATATAATTAATAAAATATAATAAAATATAATATATGATATATTGTAATATAATATAATATAATATAATATAATATAATATAATATAATATAATATAATATAATATAATATAAAGTAATATAATATAATTAATATAATATAATATAATATAATAAAATATAATATATGATATAATGTAATATAATATAATATAATATAATATAATATAATATAATATAATATAATGCAAATGATTAAATCAAATTAAACTTCCAATGATTAATTATACTTTATATCATTGAAAAAATATTTTAAATATTGTAATTTATTTTATAGCAAATTTGGACTTTAACTGTTATTTAAATATAATATAATTGTGATAATAAAAAAAAAACTTTGATTAAAATATTTATTATTTTATTATTATATTATTTTACTTTATAATAAATATAATATTTTTATTATTTTCATTTTATTTGCACTGTCTGTATTTTGCTCTGTTGTATTTTGTTCTGTCTAGAGTACCTAAGCTTTTCACTCATCATAGCACACGTACTGCTGATGATGTGACAATAAAAGTGATTTGATTTGATATTTAAAATTGTGGTTTAATTACAATAATTTTTGCCTACATATAACTAATATAATATAATATAATATAATATAATATAATATAATATAATATAATATAATATAATATAATATAATATAATATAATATAATATAATATAATATAATATAATATAATATAATATAATATTTTTCCCAGAGATGGGTTGCGGCTGTAAGGAAATCCGCTGCGTAAAAAACTTGCTGGAAAAGTTAACGATTTATCCAGTTGTGGCGACCCTGGATTAATAACGGGACTATACCGACAAGAAAATGAATGAATGAATGAATGAATGAATAATATAATATAATATGATATAATATAATATAATATAATATAATATAATATAATATAATATAATATAATATAATATAATATAATATAATATAATATAATATAATATAATATAATATAATATAATATAAAAATACTTAATTATATTTTATATTAATACAAATATTAATTTAATTTATTAAATTTAATTATTATATTGTTTATTTTAAACTATAATTATAATAAGAACATTATCTTGTACTGTCCTTTATAATATTCTTTTATATTGTATATAATAATAATAATTATGCTAAACTGCAGAATTAACTATTGTCCCATAATGATGTAATGTAACACAATACAAAAATAATACAAACTGAAACTGTTTTTGTAAAAGCTTTGTGCTCCCAAGCATAAAAACATGAGACCCTACAGGCATGATGACCTCTGTGTATGTCTGTGTGTGTATGCATGTGTGCATGCGTGTGTGAATGTTCATCACTTACTGTTTGAGCCCATGGAGAGATTATGACTTTGACCCAAGGCAGAGCTTTTGCTGGAGCTGTGCATAACCCAGCTGAAGTCAGAATCCAGGTCGAGGGTCCAACCACACCATCCCTGCTCAAAATCACACAGTCCTTTGTGAGACGGCAGGGCAGCGCTGGTTACTGATGGAGAGAATACATCAATAAATCTGCATTAATATTCAACAACCCTGGCAAAACACTGTACGGCTAACGGCACTTTAAACAAACTGAGTTTGACCTCCGACTTCAGCTGCATCAGTGTGCAACATGAAGAAACAGAAAACAATACTTTGAAAATTCCCAACAGTGTTGTTCATATGATGTTTTGTTGTATGCAGAAGCGCTGTAACTTATTCAAGTGCACTTACAGGTCCACATATACAGTTGACGGCAAAATAATTAGTTTTAATTATTTTTTAAATGCTTCCAAGAGAGCAGATTGGCTGGAGTGTGGGAGTTGTGGTTATTCCAGGGAGAGCAGAAACAGAATAAAGCTTCATCATCATCATCATCCGCAGCAGCAGTCTTTGTAACAGACTAAAGGGTTTATTCTGAATAACCACCGGCTGGAACTACATTATGCAGATTATTACACGCCTGCTGCACACTACACTACACTATCAGACACAAGACACTGATCTAAGCCCTAAATTACCAGCTATTTAAAGGGTCACGAAACATCAAAACACATTTTTTAAACCGTTTCCAGTCATATATGTGTCCCACGCTGCTAAAAACACCATTAGGACACATATATTTCACAAAACAAATGTGAAAATATTTTGCTTTATTTCAAGCAAATTCGTTCTTCCGGTTTATAGCTAATTTTTTAAGCTGCATCACGCCGATTAGATCCTTGTGTGTATTCCAGCGTGAAGACTGGCTGTCTGTCCCTGGAAATACATTGTGATGTCACTTGAGAAAGATTTGGTTTAAACCAATCAGCACGCTCTTTTGTGTATGCAGTGCAACTTCATTAATATGCATGATAGCTTCGAAGACTGTTTTTACCTGTTACAGTGTTCAGACAGCAGAGAGAGACCACGTTATGTTGCCAAAACAAGTGGAAGAAGAAGAATTGTTTGGAGACACGGGTCGTCAGTGTTGTGTTTATAAATGTGCTGCAACAAAGGTTTTGTTTTCATTTTCCGCTATGACCGTGGATTGGAGTGGACATGCAGCAGAAATATTTATTTATAAAACATTTTCCCAGTGAGCTTTTCTCATCTGGAAATGGTGTTGATTGTCCCATCTGTACAGATTTGATAAGTGTGTGATCAGCGTCTGTTTGTTTATTCAGATGGCAAAGTAAGTTCGTATCGTCAGCAGTATTATTTCAGTGTTTAAAGACACACCTTAGTCAAAATAATTTAGTGACTAAGTTTACAGTGTTAATATCACTACAATATTATAGACTGAAAGATCTGCTGTACATGCAGCTCTCCAAGTGTAAATATATAAACACTGCAATCAAACTATTACCGTCGTGTAGGATTTTCACAACATTTTGTGACAGGATAGTCTATACACACATGGCTTTCTGACGCTACCTATCGAGTGCATCTAAGTCACAAAGAAATGTGGAGGATTTTCTTGCTCTCATTTGCCGTGCGGTATCAAACACTCTATTAAAATACACTCATCCAGCAGTTCCTTGCATCCAAGATCTCGTTTGTCACGGGGGGAATGCATGATGCATTCCTGAATGAAATTGAAAGTCCACAAATGAATAATTTGGCAAATAATTTGATTACTGATGTCCATGTAAACACAGTCAGTCTTTCTCCCATGTGTCTGTGTTTGTTTTGCCTCAGTAAAAATCAGCGCCTGCACAAAAGGAAACTCCCATTTTTATGCAAAACCTTCCCTCGTTCCCTCGCCCGACACTCCCACCTAAACAGAGCTGGACACACCCACCTTCCTGACCTTTTTCAAAATAGAGGTGTGAAAACACCCTGCTGAGACAGAGGCCCTTTAATTAAACCTAAAGCTAGCAGAAATAAATATTGAGTGCAACTACACGATGATGATGATTATTATTAATCATATTTAATCAGAAGATGAAACAGCGGGGTGATTAATGTGTCCAGAGCAAGGACATTTTCACAGTATTTCCTGTGATATTATTACTTCCGAGTCTTAGTTTGACTGGAATTAAAGAAGCAGCACAGTGGTTAAGTGGTTAGCACTGCATTTAAGTCATCAATAACATGTAAAAAAAACACATACCTAACCCATGTGTACTAACCTGGACTGGGTTTCTGTGTCGTGCTGGTCTCTACTGAGGTCGGTTGTGTTGGTTTGCTCGTCTCCAGCGCTGGTGTGGAGGTTTCTGTGAGAGAAAAAAACATAATTAACAATCTTATCTTAACCCAGACAAGAATGCATTTCCATTCAGACAAATCTCTTTTCTTTCCATTTCAAATGAGATTCCCTTTCATTTTAATTATGCAGCCAGCCATGAGTCAGATATTCATAAATTAAATCATAAAAACTCGGGATTGATGTCAGCGCAGACGGGAACATAAACTATGTGCGCAGTATGCAATATTGTGCGAAACTATAATTTGGGCCTGTGGCTCTTTGTGTCTGTCTTAAATGATGACATCAGACTGATGGATGGTGTTGCTGTAGGCAGAAAAACCAGACATGCCATAGGGTGTTGAATAAACATACAGGCATGATAACATATAGGATATAAACAGTATCAGCATATGTGTACAGAAAAGAAGAAGAAAGAGCAAACATGAAAATTATATAGGCATCAAAAAGCCTCCCACAATCCCTTGCAAAATGTTCAATATTAACCAAAAGAAGTGTAATAACCTCATAATGCCACAGGGGAGGGAAAAAACCTAAACACCCAATAATTTATTCATTTTCCTTCAGCTTAGTCACTTATTTATTAGGGTTCACCACAGCGGAATGAACCGCCAACTATTCCGGCATATGTTTTACGTAGTGGATGCCCTTCCAGCCGCAACCCAGTACTGGGAAACACCCAAAGACACTCAATTACACACACACACACAAACACACACACACACACACACACACATAGACAGTTTATTTTATTCACCTATAGCGCATGTCTTTGGACTGTGGGGTAAACTGGAGCACCCAAAGGAAACCCACGTCAACATGTAAGTGCATTCAATGATATATTTCATTTAAAATACATTGCAAACTAGTTTGAAAATCAGTGCCAAAAATAAATAAATAAATAAATAAATAAATAAATAAATAAATAAATAAATAAATATTGTTTTGTGCTTAGTGTAAAAAATGCATTGGACTGATATTGATATATGATTATAATTGTAAATTGTTATTATTATTATTATTATTATTATTATTATTATTGCATTTTTACCTATTGGCTTACATTCGCTTATTTTTATTTTTATTTAAAATCTAGTTGCATTTATTTATTTTATATATATAAAATATTTTTTATATAATTCTTTTAAGATATTTTATTTACTTAATGTATTTTTATTTGTTCTTTAACTTTAATAAAAAAATTTCATTTTCATTCAGTTTTTTCATTTTGTTTAACTTTTATCTAGTTTTCACCTATTTAATTTAATTTAATTTAATTTAATTTAATTTAATTTAATTTAATTTAATTTAATTTAATTTAATTTCCCAGTACTGGGTTGCAGCTGGAAGGGCATCTGCTGCATAAAACATATGCTGTGAAAGTTGCCAGAACCCCTGATAAATAAGGGACTAAGCCGAAGGTAAATAAATCAATACATAAATTTGCTATAAATGCACATTACTATATTATATTGCACTACAAAAATTATTTATTTTTTTTGTAAAAATAATAATAATAATAATCTGCCAATGAGGTCATTTTTGTTTTGGTGTGAAATATTATTTTATTGAGATTATTTAGCTTTTTTTTAAGAATAAACACACATATTTTAAACATATTATTTCAGAAAACAAGACAAAATGCTTCCTGATTTAAGAACTTTTGGATATTTGGACGAAAAACAAGACAAAAACTCAAAGTAATGAAATCGTTTCCTCCATTGCGGTCACTCGCAGCAGTTTGTGCAAAGGAAGCGAACAGACGCATACATTAATATTTTGAATTCATAAAAGGTGAGCCACAGCTGGTGATATTTGTCACTGTAATGCCATGGCCTTTTCTGAAGCAATTAGCCAGCTAATACCACTTCCTCTGGCCTCTATCTGTCTGCCTCCATCATTTGCTCATATTCCTCCACACCTGCCGTTTGTTTTTCTAGGTCTTCTGATTCAATTAGTGGCGGGATGACGGATAAATATCATCACCTGAGCTGGGACGGAGCTGCACACGTGTGTAAACGCAGGGAAGATGCTCTGTCAGTGTTTAAAGGTCTCTGTGTGTCACGGTGTAATGATTTTGACCTTTCAGAGACGTGACGCTCGTGTCAGCACAACAGACAAGACAAATATTATGAGGAAATGCTGTCACAAGCTGCAGCACTTCTGCCGTCACAATGCTGTTCGCAAAGGGAGCATACAGTAATTATGCTGCCTTCTGAGATGCCTTAGTTGAGCCAAAGTCTACAGCATGCAGATTTCATAGCAAATCCCAGAATGCACTGCAATGGGATTATGAAAAATGTTAACGCAAAAATTAATACAGAATAAAAAATGGTTTAATCGACATTCATTCATTCATTTTCTTGTCGGCTTGGTCCCTTTATTAATCCGGGGTCACCACAACGGAATGAACAACCAACTTATCCAGCAAGTTTTTACGCAGTGGATGCCCTTCCAGCCACAACCCATCTTTGGGAAACATCCACACACACTCATTAACTATGGACAATTTAGTCTACCCAATTCACCTGTACCGCATGTTTTTGGACTGTGGGGGAAACCGGAGCACCCAGAGGAAACCCACGCAGGGAGAACATGCAAACTCCACACAGAAACCCCAACTGAGCCGAGGCTCGAACCAGCGACCCAGTGACCTTCTTGCTGTGAGGCGACACTGCTTTGCCCATAGCATCGACATGAGTGCATTATACTGTATAACATAATTTATTTCATATACATAGCGTACTAGTTTTAAAAAAGCAGTGCCAAAAAATTACGGTTTCGTGCTTAGTGTAAAAATGCATAGCATTGATATGTTAATAGTTGTAAATTATTATTATTATTATTTTTCTTCTTCTTCTTCTTCTTCTTCTTCTTATTATTATTATTATTATTATTGCATTTTTAGCTATTAGCTTATATTCACTTATTTTTATTTAAAATCAATGTATATCTATTTATTTATTTTTATTTTAATCTAAATTAAATATTATTATTATTTTAAGATTTTTATTAATATATTAATTTATTGTATTTTTATCTATTTTTTTACTTTATTTATGAAATTTTGTTTCATTTTGTTTAACTTTTATCTAGTTTTCACCTAGTTTTTATTTTATTTTAAATGTAGTTTTATCTTATTTTAGTTTATTTTGAGGCTTATTTGAGCAATTTTAGAATGTCAAATTTCCTAAAGCAACTATAAAAATAAAAATTTCAAACTTTATAAATATACATTTGATATTCACTTTCATTTATAAATGATTATAGTTTTTATATTAGCTTGTATTTGCTTATTTTTTAATAAAATTTTTATTTTGAAATTTAATTATGTTTTAAATATAGCTTTATTTTATTTTAATCTTGTTTTATTTTTTATTTAGCTTGATTTTTATTTAAGGTCTGGTTCATTTTAAGTCTGTTTATTTTATTTTATTTTGTTTTATTTTATTTTTCAGCCTTAATCTGCATTTTTTTTTTTTGCATTTTAAATTTTACAAAAGCTAACTATATAAATAAATATTCAATGTTTATTAAATATGAATTTAATGTTTGCTTTTAATAATAAATTTTTATAATGTTTTATTTTATTTTTACATATTTGGATAATTTAATTTAATTTAATTTAATTTAATTTAATTTAATTTAATTTAATTTAATTTAATTTAATTTAATTTAATTTAATTTAATTTAATTTAATTTAATTTAATTTAATTTAATTTAATTTAATTTAATTTAATTAGGCTTAACTTGAGCATTTTTAGCATTTCACATTTCCCAAAGCAAACTTTATAAATAAATATTTAAAAATTAGGTATACATTTTTTATCTAATATCCTTTTTGTCACTTACGCTAGATTTAGTTTCAGTTTATTATCCTTGAGCTCTTATTTGTGTTATTTTTTATTCACTTTTTGTTTTGCAAAAAATAAGTACTAATTTTATTCCAGAACACTATCAGTTAACAGTCCATACGCGTATTTAATGTCAACCTGATTTCACCATCTTTATTGATCCCGGTACAACTTTCCCATCAGCCAATCAGAATTAGGGAAAACGTTTGAGAAAAAAAAAGATGGTCCAGGATCAACATAGATGGTTTTCCAGGATCGCATCATACTTGGCAAAATTACAACGTGCGCGTATTTACCCCTAAAGCACAACAAAGGCAAGTCATGACACACAATATTGGTAAAACGCCTATAAAAAAAATCAATACAAAAAATTCCTTCATATTAGCGCACTACACTACACTACACTGGGCTCTGTTTTTATGGGCTTTCTTGGATTGAAGGTTATGGCTGTACATGTTATCCATCTCTTTAGAGCATACATGTAACTGTACACTTCACCACAGGCTGCAGGTGCCTTAATGTGATTAAGACTAGCGGGAAGATCATCGCCTGCAGTGTGTGTGTGTGTGTCTATGTGTGTGTGTGTGTGTGTATGTGTGTGTGTGTGTGTGTGTGTGTGTGTCTGTGTGTGTGTCTGGAAGTAATGGGAAGTAAGGCAAAGAAATGAAAGTGTATTATTGATAGCTGTAATCTGTCTTCCATCCACTCCCTCTTTCCACATCTCATATCCCACGATCCTCTTCTCTGCTCTTGTCCTGTCAGTTCTGTTTTCATCATATACTCACACTTCCTAAGGAAAGCTGTCGCACCGTTCTATAAAGATCCTGACTCGGCTCAAAATAATAAATCAATAATGAAAAAAAAACAGATATGCAAATAAATAAATGAATGAAAGAGCCTCAATTATGCATAAAGTGTTCCTGCATATTTCAGCCAGCCAATCAGAGAACAGTAGTGCTGTTGCTAGGGAAAATAAATGTTTTTAGGACCCAATAATTCGGCCACTGTATGATATGTGTTTGATTATTTCATGATGAACACTATATAAAACCAGAGGAACTAAATAATTATTTGATTATAGCAAGATAATCAAAAAAAAAAATTTGTCATGTACATTTTCTGAAACCAATCAATCAAAGCTCCCTAGCAACACCCT